CAGCAAGGCTGTCAGACTTGTTAAAACAGATTCGACATTGATTCAGTGTATACTTTGAGGGGGGCCCAGGAACAGGCTTTTATCCAAACCTACTGAATTCTGGTTCGATCTGACGTTTAGGCTGAGGTTTGGACATGTTCTTATTTTTTTGGGAGTGATTCATCCAAAACTTTAAGTTATCCAGGAAAAAATGTGGGATTAAATTAATCCTGGATGTTAGCATTTAAAAAGGAAAAACCATGTTTAATATGATCTGAACAGCAGTAGAAACCTGAAGCCACAGAAAAATGATACATATATGGGAACAATAGCACAAGTTATTAGGATCAGCGCGTCTTAAATACCAAAACGCATCCAGAAACAGCATTCAGAAGAGGCATCCTGCATTGGACAGAACTGGCTAAGAAAGTAAATCTGATAAACCTTGCCAGCACTAGGACAGAGTTGGAGTGATAGGTGCTTCGCCAGGCATGGACCAAATTAGCCCCACTAACCCAGCTGGATGCTCCAGAACAGCTGCTTCTGGTTGCACACGCAGTACAGGCAGGCGAGGAGACCCTGGTCCCATTTACTCCTCTACTCACATCCCCCAGCAACCCACACAGCAAAAATAAAAAGCTGCTGCACTTTCTTGCCAAGATCCCAAACTGCGGGATTTGAATCTGGGAGGAAGGGAAGGATGAGAGGCAAAGCGAAGCCTGCAGCTGGTTTGGGTCTCGAGTGGGAAAAAATGGAGAACCTATAAACTATTCTATTCTTCAAGAGAAGATGGGCTCAGGAGCTTGGAAAGAGATTTCTGATTGTGCTGGAAAGATTAAAATGATGATAACAAAATAAGTTTCAGAAATGGAAAATGGTCTGGAAAAGGAGTCTCCATATCTGCATATCTAATCTGCTTTTCTTCAGCTGTCTAACCAAATGGCAATTCTGCACTGTAGGTTCCTATTAGCAAAATCACAAGGAAGGATTGGGTGCCAAAACATTTATTTCCACAGCAAAAGGCACATTAAGTGTTGAAAAAATCATCAGTTTTGTTGATGTTTACATTGTGAATAGTTAAGCTGTGGTAAAGTCTTAAGCGATCATTTTTGTTATGAAAAGCAATGACAGGACATTTGTATTTTGAAAGCATCTGAGTTTATCAGATTATGATTTTTAGCATACTTGTGGTCTTTCCCTAGAGCATATTGTTTGTGTGTGCATGTGCAGCTCAAGTGTTCCTATCCAGTTAGCCAGAGCATGCGTGGAAGGAGTTACTTTTATTTTCTAACAGGGGCTATCCCTCTGCACAGCCCTCCTCTCCCCAGCTGAGCCCCACAAGCCACAGTCCCCACAGGACCTCTGCTCCTGCCCCAGACCAACGACAGGTAGGGCAGCCTTGAAACCCAACTCAAAAGCTCAAAACCATTCAGAACTACTCAGGTTTACTGTTCCCTTCCCACCGAGCCCTCCCTGGCAGTTTGTCTGAATGCACCCACATCAATTCGCTCCAGCTTCTGCTGCTTCAGTGATGTGTGGGCTCAGGGAAAAATAAGAGAAACTTTATCTGACTCTGCTGGTGCTTGCAGAAAGTTTTTAAGGATCCAACAAGTCAACACAGCATAACGAGCCATGCACTGAAGATCTCGAGGCAACTCCGAGCACAAAGGGACCATCATCTTTTCCTCCATACATCACCACCTTATCTGGCCCTTCAACAAGCTGCCTGAAATGAGGGAACTGACACGGCCAGGCTGAAAGTCCTGGTCCCATATGAGATGAAGGAGGTCACCATCCTATTGCCTCTAGGTGTGTGCTGAGGGGGGACAGAGGTTGCAGTCTGCCACCCGACAGGATGCACCAGCATCTCAGGACAGGCTGAGAAGTGCACATGCCCCGATGCAACTTTCCCCTGTTCCTCTTTCCTCTCAAATAAATACACCACTGCACTACAGGACTTTTACCCAGAAAGACTCCAAAGCTCTGCAGGCTGACAACGTACAGGGACAAAGCCCAGCTGCTGCACAGACCTCTTGCAGAGGAATGCACTTCCATGAACATTTCTGCACACGCCTAGCGTGTCTTAAACACTGGAGGGGTATAACCAAAACAGAACCCTTCCTCCAACCTGTCAAGCTGCACACATTCAATGTGCAATTCTCAGATCTGATTCCTTCTCCAGGCTTCCCTCCTCCTGGCCCCAAATCCTACATGTGTCCAGCTGAGTGCCTTAACTGCTTTCTTCCTCACTGTACAAACCCGTGTGTCAGCAGGAACTGCCTGGCACACAGAGCACCCAGTATTTTGGGTGACCAAGTGGGAGAGAGGCGGCGCCATCTTCTAGCTGGAACCCACAGTCATGAGGGCCTGGTAGAAGGCAAGTCACCCAGTTATGGTTAAGCTCCAGTGTCCCTCCCTGTGCACTGCCCCTTGCCAACCACACATCCCCATCACCGTGCATCCATCCAAGCAGGAGCTCACAAGGAGCGAGGAGGCATCCATGTCTCCGGAGGAATGCAGATCCATAGTCGTGGCACTGCAGGAAGGAAAGGACTGTGCTCCCAACCCTGCTCCAACACCTATTTAACCTATTTATCCACTCCCATGAAATGAAAGTGACACACCACATAGGTTTTGTACTGGTTTAGACAGTGATTTTACAGACTTAAACCCAAATGAAACAGCTAAGAAGACAATTTATGCATTTCCCTTCTTGTATACGAATAAATAATTGTTGTAACAGGTCCATTTCTATAGCTTAGCTAGACAAAAGCTGCATCACTTTATGGATACAGTTAAAAAAAAAAAAAAAAAAAAAAAAAAACTTCTTTACTTGGACAAGCATGGCTCTAGATGAAATTCTTCTGAAGTGAATTTACTGTCAGCATAAAATGCAGGTCACCCAGTGGAGGAACCAGACCCAAAGATCTGAATAGTTACCCTACATGATCAAGAAAAGGAATCCCTGCTCCCATCTTTGCCATCCACATTCAAAAACACCATTAGCCAAATGCTGCCCAGAGGCCGTTTCTCTGCCATACACTTTCGATGGCCATTGTGGGAGCACGCAGGTCTCCCCGCCTGTCCCCTTGTCCCAGGAGTAAGGCAGAGCTGGCACGTTCCTGCTTTCAGGCCTGTGTGCTCTAAGGGAGCTCTGCAAAATTGTCCCTGACTATTTAATTGGGAAGTTTAGCTCTATTCTCTTTAGACACTTCTGTTAGGACTGCTACCAAGAGCTCTCTGGGTGAGTAGTTTTAAGTACTACAAAATGACAAACAGCAGCTACTTCGAAACTCTGATTCTGCCACCCTTAGACATTTAGGCAGCTGATAAGCTGTATCACCTCTTGTGCAGCATACCATCATCCCAACACTCAGAGCCAGATGAACAGAACCAAGACAAGTCAGAGAGGGATGTGCCCCAAAGCCTCTGCGTTGGGCGCATCTTCTGAGATAATCTTAGTGGATAATAATTTTAAAGTACACATACAAATAACAGTCTTAAGGGCTAGAGCATGAAAAATGAATTTGCAGGTGTTTACACATGGAAAGCTGTGCATACAGAAAGGAGACTGTGACGAGACCCCTTTGCAAATCAGATCTTTATGGAATTTCAGTAGAGAAGTAGGAAGGGGCAGGTTTACTTCCCCTGACCTCGTGCAAAGAGACCGGGTGAGGGAGTGTTGTTTTTTTTTTTTTCTCTCTCTCTTTTGTGTGTGCATACAGACACTTAGTGCTGGCATCCAGAGAGTGAATTGAAGTAAAATTTCTATAACTTCCAAAATCCTTCAATATGTCAGTAGCAGCATGGACCACATGAAGTGCCAAAACACAGCTGTCCCACTACGGATTACTTTCCTCTCTTTGGTTGAGAAATCAAAAGGTTGCTTTTCCCCTTTGTAACTTAGCCAGTGTTGGGTTGTGTTCACCCCCAAAAATCAAACAACTGCTTTCTTCCAGCTTAACTGATTTTGACTTTTTTCCCCCTTGATTTAAAAAATTGGAATGAAAATATAATTTCCAAATGTACTCTGGTTTGACCTAAGTTTCATTTGGCCTGTTTATCCCTCACATGCAGACATCTGATATTCTGAATTTGCAGTGAATTTACACATTACCTGCTCATAGAGAATCACTCAAATTTTACAGAATTTTTATAAATCCCTCTGTTATTTCTTAAAATCCCTCTATTTGTAAAATCAACGGGTACAAGGACAAAGCTGCTGAGTAAGGGAATACAGTAGGGAAAGCACCTTCCACAGGGTTGGAATTTGAAGCATTTGAGTATGTTTCATAGCAGAAGCAGCTAGAAACACCACAGAAAAAAAAAGTTACAGAGTGGTCTACACAGCAGATTGTTACAACAGCTATTTTTCCTTATATAAATTCAAAACCAATAGGTTTATACAAATTTGTTGGCACCTGACAAATTCAAAGTTATCCAATAAACATTACCATGCACTATGTCATTACATTAAGAAATTATACTCTGCAGGAAATGAGAAACCTGGGCAATATTAAACTGGAATAGAATAGCAAGCTATATATAGGTGGATATGTGGATATACAGCTAAAACTGGCAACTAATTTCAGAAAGTTACTAAATCACATCCTACAAGGTTCAAGACAAATTCTGGTTTAAAAAAAAGAGAGAGAGAACTTGATGAAACAATATTCCACAAACTGTTTCTTGTTTCTTACCAAAAGAGGCAGTCAACTATCCTAAACTTGAACAAAAATCAAATTATTAACAAGTGATTGAGAGAAGGGAATAAAGAAAAAGAAAAAAAAAAAAAAAAGGATGACAGAAGAAAATTTTGACTTTTTGCAAAATACAAGTCATAATCCTCTCAAGTCTTTGTTACCTTGCATCTCCCTACTAGTGACATTCTTTCATTTTGTCTCATCACCTGGAAAAGATTCTATTATGGAATGACTCCATAAAGAAAACTTAAGGGCTATGAAGCAGCTGAAGAGGAAAAAACAAGCCCAAATCCTCACAAAGAAACCCTTACCACTCACCTGCAATGGCGTGAACAACACGGCTGGTGAAGTTTAAGATTTTGGTAACAGGTCTTCATATCATAATCCTGTCGAAAAAGAATATATGAATGGAGAATCCCATTTCTTATGGATCATCTCAGTTGGACACTAGCTAAACACTGAGCTTGGAAGGCACATAAGCAAGAAAAGTGCAGTAGCAATCTGCGGAGAAAAAAAAGGGCGGAGGAAGAATTAGGCAAAGCACAGCCCTAAATCACTGAGGTTTACATAATCAGATCTTCAAAATGGCTAACTTTGAAAATGAGAAGACTCTAAGATAACCTAACAGGAAGGAAAGAAACAGAAATTGCAACTGAAAATTAGAAGTTCCAAAGAAATAATTAGTTAAGCGGGTTTAATCAATTAAGAGAAAAACGGACAACTATTTTGCCAGTTCAGAAAGGGCAAACAGACTTAGAGAGGAAGCATGGGGAAAAAGGTAGGTTTCTTCTGGCTTAAACCAAATGTTTAAGGACTGAGTACTGGAAAAAGATGTGGGATCCAGACTATTTTTAAAATAAGTTGCAAATTTGAAATGGTGCAGGGAAGAGCCACAAAAACCTTCTAAAGGCTGGAGGAAATGTTCAGTAGACTTTAAAAGCTCAATCTGTTTGGTTTACCAAAGCAGAGTATACTAGCATCCTCACTGAAATAAAATATACAAGATCCTGAAGGACTTGTTTTTGAACTAATGGTAAAAGTTATAAGTAGTATCTTGTAAGTAAAGACAGGCAAATGCATATTTTTTTTTTCCACAGAGAAGATTGATTAACCATTGTAGCAACTACAAGAAATGGAAAATTTTTCATTTCAAATCAGTGTTTTGTGTTCAAAACCATCTCAACTGTTTTGGGAAGCTATGTTTTCACTTAAAAAAAAAAAAAAAAAAAAAAGAAAGAATGGGGGTTGATACCTGTGTATTGAGAGTGAAACTACATGAAGTTTTCTGTCTTAGCACAACACAGGCCGTTCAACCCAGTCATATCATAATCTCTCCTGACCATTAATCCTGTGCATTTTGTGCCTGCAGCTCTGGTTGCATGTCCTGTAAGACCCCAAAACAGAGCTTCAGAGTAGTGCTACTTATGCCTAAGACTAAGCCACATTTGCTAACCTTTCTTTCCCATTTCTCACTGCTGGCAGATTAAATATTACCCCTTTGCACTGTACACTCAAATATTATTTCGCTTTTTGTATACAGCTCCTTATTACATGATTAGTGTTACCACATGTTTCACACCATATCTCTCCGGTAATAATGACGATGTTAGCAGAGTTGTACTGTCCTCCATCTACCCTCTGCTTCTATGTAGTTCAAATCAAAATTTGGAACATTTCTAGGAACCTAACATTGCTCCAGCTTTTGAAGTTACAGTACACAGAAGCATAAGACCTAGATTTCATTAGGTCTTCTTAAACACAACGCTGAAGCATGATCAAATATACCTAAACTGCCCTGTTTAAACCACTTTTAAGACTTATTAATAGATGGGTCCCACAGCCTGCAGGGCAGCCTGGTAAAGACCAGAATTAATCTGTGTCTTGGGGGCTACCTCACCAGCTGGTGAGAACAAGCACTATTCAGTGGGCTGAAGGAGTCACCAAGCTACAGGACAAGGTCTGGCATGCAGAGATTAAGATGCCTGCCATCCAAGTAGCTCCAGTCCCAGAAGGCGATAGCTGTAACTCTTGGTAGCAATTCTGTCACACACGCATTCCCCCACCAAGGAAACAATCTGAACCATGCAGAATAAACATCTCAGGTGCAACTCTACCTGCACCTTTCAAGACTGATCTTTGCATAGGTTAGCAATGAATACCAGGCGCTGTATAGCAAAACATGCTGTTTGCTGAATGACCTCAGCATTTCCAGTTTCACACTGTCATGTTTCTCTCTAAAACAGAGAAGTTCTACTATTGTATTTCATGGGATGCATCATTCCTGTTCCCCTGACAGATGCTCCATAGCACCCGGGAGAAGGCCAGCTATTGTCACCTAAGTTCATTCATTAGACTTCAGTGGAAAGGTCACACCATTCAATGGAAAGCTATCCCTCAAGAGTTAGTTTTGCAGTTCACAGAAAGGGTTATCCCAAGACCCATACCACTGTGTTGCATACTGCTTGTGTTTTCCTTGTGCCTCCTTGCCCTGTCATCGTTTTCAGCTGGTTTAATTTGTGCCCCCACGATGAATTAGAATCTGAATACTCTTGCTCCTAATTACACTGTCAGCACCAGCAGCCAAAGAAATATGGAATTAGGTGCTCTGATTTATGCCACAGCTGGAAGAAGCAAAACCAAGCAAATTGAATGAAACACCTTTGGAAAACGAGTAGCAAGCTACAGAAAGTACAACCAGAGCCCCTAATCTACAGAACTGCAGCAGAACAGCAAAGTCTATGACATATGTCAATAAGGATATACAAGCGTCCTTCACAGGATTTACAATGTATATATTAAGAAGCTAGAAGGATTTAGCAAAATTGCTGTACTGACAACCTTAAAGCTAACTGCATATGTTTTGACATCATATATGGTGTGGCAGGATACCACCACAAAGAGGTTCATTCCAGACGACTCATGCCAGTGTTTTGAATAAGATATGATTTATATTTACTTTTGTTGTGTATTTTTACTAGGGGATAAATAACAAAATAAAACATGTCACATTTTGTTTATTCTTTTTTGGCCTTCCCAGCCAAGCATGCTCTCAGTCTGCAAACATTTAACATTTTCAGCATCAGTGCTTTACCACAGAAGACATCTGAAGGTTATCCTCTTCCCTTTACTCTAATAAATTATATAACTCAAAGGTTGATCAAAGCACTCTCTCAACTTGAGCAAAGTAATGAAAGAAAACTTTAATTTAAAATCACTTAAATTTCCTCAGCATTGAAAATGCGGGTATGCATGGGGTTTGTGTTTTTTCTTGCTGATTTTTATTTATTTTTATTTTATTTTTAAATAGGCATAATCAAATTTTCTTTAAAGTTACAATTAACTGCTGGCTGGGAAAGGGCGCAAGCCATATGGAATTAAATTTCTCTTTGGAAATCATATGTTTGCATTCCTCCTATATGATGATTTTTACCACACCAGAAACTTCCTAATTAATTGCAACCTACTTCACTATACTGAAACAGATGCAAATAAGTATTTCTCTAGTCATTATAATCATTCCTCACTAGGCGTGTGGGTACGAATTAAAGGAGGGCACTAGAAGCCTTGAGCACCTACAGACTAAACTGCTTTCACCAGCTCCTGCAGAATAACTGCAGCTTTTCCCAGTTAAATGAAGGACAGAAGCAAGATTTAAAAAAAAAAAAAAAAAATCTGCTCAGAGGGAAGTCGATGCTTAGACAGGCCTCTTTGAACATCCTACCTGAAGCAATCGACCTATTACAGAAAACGGTTCAAAGGGATGAGATGCAAAATATGACCATGGAAGAAAGACTTGAAAAAAAGTCACCCTTGCTGTGTTGTGCTTCAGAAACAAAGGAATTTTATCAGAACCTGAACATTTGGGAAAATCTGCCAAGTGATCGAGCTTGGTTTTAAGTAGAAAAAGGCTGGCAGGATCACAGGAGAGCTTATATTATTGGAGAACTTAAAAGTGAGAAAAAGTTAAAGCAGAAAAACCCAATGAAAACAAAATACTGGAGAATGAAATGTGCCCAGGAGAGGCACATATGGCCTAGTGCCAACCATCATCATCTTGAAAGATGGTACTTATTAAGGAGAGAATTTCATACTCAAGAGACTGTTTTGGAGTAAGCTGTAGAATCAGGTAAAGGGGAGCTCAGATGATTGGTATCACCACTGGAAAACACAATAGGCTTGCTAACCTGCAAATATTAAAAAAAATAATAATATTTAAAATATATATATATTAGAAAGTAAAGAACTAGGAAGTAACAATACTCTCCCTGTCTAACTCTGCCTTAGCATCTATTTTCCTATCTAGAAGTCATCAGCTGTAAACTACTAGTCTGCAGCCCCAGTAGGACTTTCTCAGGCACTGGAGGTTGAAGGCCTGCAGAATAAATATCTGGAATTCTGAAGCCAAACGACCACGGCTTTTACTACATAAAGGTAGCACCCTTAGTTTATGCAATACCATTAAAAGTGAACCATGACTTGCAAGATCAGAGCTTTTAATGCAGTGCAACCCCAAAAGGAAAGCAACCTCCTGTTACACAGCCTACGGCACTTTTGAAAGGAGCATTATTAGGTTAGGAAAATTCAGTCAATGTGATTGGTATGAATATCTGATTTTTAGATCTCTTAAGGCACTGGATCAGGATTTGGGAAAGCTGCATTCAATTTCTGTCTCTGCCAGAGACTTCCTGTGTGACCTTGGGAACATCACTCCATTTTTTTGGGCTCATAAGCAAAACACAGATGATATTTCCCTGCTCTGCCATATATATGCCAGCTGTAAATTCATACCACAGCTGCTGCAGCACCTTGCACCAGGTTGTCTCAGGCTCTGTGGAAGATGAACACAAATATTAACTCTTGCCAAGTCTTTTGCTTCAGTGCGTGTGTACAATAATGGTCGCTTCCATGGGCATGCTTAAAGAAAAAGTGCCTATCCTGCTTTAACAGGCAATCATTTCAGAACAACTCTAGCTGTTTTAAACCTCTTCATTGCTTCAGGAAGGCAATGTCTCTCCTACAGTGATTTAATAACTTCCAGGGAAACGTATCTCCAATGATTTTGTGTATTTTAAAGGGGCAAAGCTGCAGGCAACCAAGAGAGATGCCTCCTTTTCTGACACCACACAACTTTTTTCTAATTCCCTCCCCAAAACTATTTCTCTTTCAACATATGCGGTGGTTGGCTGGGAGCAGAAGTCATCCTTGCTTTAAATGGACACAATATCTGCTCTCTAGAACTAAAACTTAAATTGATAGTAAATCCGTATAAAGGTGAACAGCCATTTTTTCAGTTGAGTATCTTGCCCCAGCTAGTCTTCTGTTCAGCTCCCTCTTCACAGAGCATGTTCAGGACTATTAAGGGCTACTCCAGTGCTTTGGGATTTGC